TCATATTCTCTGGTAATCTTACATTCCCACTGGTAATATTACATTCTCACTGGTAATCTTACATTCCCACTGATAATCTTACATTCTGTGAACCAAACGCACCCTTAGGTGTTAAATAGTTTTTACCCATTGTTGTTACTAATTTTTTCTTCTTCTTGGAATTAATCGTCATATTTGGAAAAAAAAGAAATATGCATTTCAAGGAGCTACACAAAATTAAACACAAAAAATTTATTACTTTTTAGGAGTCTTTTCATATTTGAGAAGTTGAAATGTTTGTTCAAATATTTAAATAGTGAAAAGCATTATTTACAAATAACATAACTTGAAATTAATCTCAATCGACGTTCATTGAAGAATATTAGAGTATTATAAGATTAGATTCTTATGAATTTTATTGCTTTTAAATAAGTTTCATAAAAATCAACCCTAAAAAAGAATGAAATTCAAACGTTTTAATATCATCTGTTGATATACATATTTATATTTGACATGTACTCTTCAATTAAGATATTTCCCCCAAAATTAACCTATAAAACTAAACATGATTTCATATATATATATATATATATATATTTATATATATATATATATAGAGAGAGAGAGAGAGAGAGTTAAGATTAAGGATGGGCATGGGAACCAAATCCGATGGGTTCCGACTCGACCCAATCGTATAGGATCGAGTTTTTTTAAATATATTTGGGTTTGCGTCAAGTCGGGTTTTTAAAGGTGATGTTCGGGTCGGGTTGGATTCAGGTTTAGGGTGAAAAATACCCGACCCAAAAAAATGATTTTACCTTATATAGTTATGAATAATTACAATAATACTCCTATATATATATATTTTCAATTAAATCATTGTTTTTATTGAATAAAAACAATATTTTTATTATTTTGGGTCGGGACGGATCGGGTTCGGATTTTATCTCAACAATCGAGTCGGGTGGAGGGTATATATTTTTCAGGTCGGGTCGGGTCAGGTGAAGGATGTAAAATTTTTGGGTCTGATCGGAATTGGTCGAAACCCAATCCAAACTCGACCCATGCTCATCCCTAGTTAGGATCCACTTACACAATGTAACTTGTAACATCTCAAAATTAGGGCTAGTGACTAAAATAGAAGTTTTGAAACTTTGAGGTCTAATTTCAAAAAAAAGTTTAGGGACTTGATTGGGAATATTTTGTGAACGATTGTTTAGTAAATATTTGATGGAGTAAGGGGTAAACTGGTCTTTTCACATGAAATATTTTTATTATCCCTTTATAAAGGATATAAAAACGTGAAAACAGAGGGAAAAGAAAGAAAGAAAGGTCTGGAGACTTGGTTCTCTTCTTCATCATCGTGGCCATGAGCTTCATTTCAAAGGTGAGTATTGGTAAGTTGATCATTTCTTGAGTTTTAAGCTTAGTTTTGATTCTTTGAGCATTAAGAAAGCTTAATGGGAGATTAAGGTGTGTTGAAACTCCAAGGTGAATAAGTTATGAAAGATTAAATATTAAGAGTTTTTAAGTGAATTGATGAGGAATAAGTTATAAATGGATTTTTAAGTCATATTTGACTTGTCAATGATCTAATTAAGAAGTTAGAAACAATAGAAATGAATTAAGAACATGTTGAATAATTGGTAAGATTTTTAAATTCAAGGGTTCTAATGAGATATTGGATGATTTGATGAGTTAAAGTGATATAAGATGGTTTGAGTAAGTATAGTTGAGTTTGATGAAGCAAAAGAAGTTAATAGATTAGAAATTTAATAAGTTATGGAAAATTTTCGGGTGAAACAAGTAAATTTTGGGCTAGGGGTATCGGTACTGTTCATTCAGTACTGATACTTCAAAGAGAAAAGAAGTAGTATTTGAGGAAGGGGTATCGATACTGGTTGAATGAGTATCGATACCCTAAGGTAAAAATTCATATAATTGTTCATAGAGTATCAATATCAATGAGGAGGTATCAGTACCATGGTATAGTAGTATCGATACCATGTTAAGGGTATCGATACCAGGAAACATCGAATGTAAAAATGGTATCAGTACCGAGGAGGGGTATCGATACCATATAAGAGTAGTATCGGTACTATATGGGTAGTACCAATACTATAGAGTATAAAATGATAAGTTAAGTGTTTGTTTCAGTTTATGTTTTATTGATTGGTTATAACGATATTTATAGAAGTCGTATAATTGTGTAGATGTTAAACGGAAGCAAGTATCTGATAAGTCAAGGAGATGAGATCGAGCAAGGAAGAGATAAGTGCACGACTTGGACTAGTGGGGCTAAGGTGAGTGCATATTAGATAGTATATGATGTTTAATGGAAATAAGACTTGCGATAAGTCTATTTCCTATAGTAGAATGCATGAATTCATTAATATGAGCATATGTTTGACATGATATATGTGTGTTATTAGTTATTGCATATGTTATATGATATTACGTGAGTACATGTCACTGTAATTGTGAATGAGTATAAATGATATATATGTGATGATATAAGAATATGTTATAAGATATATGATATGAACATAAGAGATCATATGAACATGAGATATGTGGTTATGAATGAAATTATATGAGTTATACGAAAATAAGTAATGTACTTACATGATCACAAGATATAAGACATGACACGAGATATATGAGAGAAAGTATATGTGATAAGCTATGTGATATGTGAAAGTGAACCATATGTCTATATGGATATGAGAAATGATATAAAAGAAAATGCCCATGTTATGTGAAATGAGAGCTAGAGATATAGTTGGCATGCCAAGAGTCGAGGATTACCTATGTCCTTCGGGACATATGGACAGGTACCTATGTCCTTCGGGACATATGGATAGGTCCTTCGGGACATAGATTTCACATGCCACTCAGTGGATTCTTATACGAGCTGTGGTGACAGTATATGTGCACAATCTCAATGTACTCACATATCTTTAGTTCTCACATGTGTACATGGGCTAATAAAAAGATAATATAAAGAAATTCGGTATGATTATATGTTTGTTTCATTGTGGATTGATATATGTGATATGATAGTGTGTATATGGTTTGGTTAAGAATGTTAGATACAAGAGCATATGACTAAGAAATAATAATGAAATAATGCTATTAATGATAAGAATAATAATAAAGATAGATAATGAAATGATATGTATATATGTTTGTACTTATGTTTCGATGCATAATGTATTTTATAGGTGAATATGATTACATGAAGTGTGCACAGTAGGAATTAGTAATGAGATGTTATATGTATTTATGCCTCACTAAGTCATCGACTTAGCGTGTGAATGTTCCACACGTAGGTTTCGAGAAGGTTAAGGAGCAAAGAGGAGCAAGACATGTCAGTTTCTCCTTACCGAAGGTCAGATCAGAAAAGAAATGGACATGATTATGTATTTTAGTATATTGAATATAGTTGGCATGTACTAAGAAAATTGAGTTGAAAATGCTCTAATATGTTTTGTAGAACCAATTGATTTTTAATTAATGTAAAGTAATCATTTTCTTGAATGTGAATTTAAATTTTAACCATTTGTAAGGAAAATCGTTTGAAAAGTCAATGTGACACATTGGGACTCAGATCCGGGTCGGATATGGGTTGAGGGTGTTACACAAACTCTTTAGTTTTACAAAGATTTAGGACTGTTGGATGAGTGAAAATATATGGTTGAGATTGACTCTTTTTTCCCCCAGTAAATATCTTCTTATTTCTTACTGTTAATCTCAGTCATATATTTTCACTCATCCAATAGTCTTAAACCTGTGTAAAACTAAAAGAGTTTTACATTGTGTAACATGATCTTATCCCTTATATACACACACATATGTAGGGACGAACTATATAGAGAGTAGGAGGGACTCTTGCCCCTCCCAAATTTTTTTTTAATATCATTTTAGATTTTTATTAGTTTAAATTTAAGTAAAATTAGACTTTTACCTCCCAAATTTTTTAGATTAAATACATAACAAGTCCTTATTATTTTAAAATTAAATACCTTCCTCTTCTAATATTTAAGCATAAATATCATCAAAAGGTAATAAACATATCCTATCATTATTATTTTAATCATGTAATTATTAATTTTATTCTACGATCTCATCTTCAAGAAGAAGAAAAAAAACAAGGTCTTAAAAATACCTTTTACATATTTAAGATCACAATTATTTAATAAACACTTCAAAGTCAAAAAAGTTATATTGCTGCTACCTATACATGTACACACAAAAGATTCACGTAGCAAAAAGAGTGGTTTAGGCATGTTCAATGAACCGAACCATACGTTATGTGATTAACTTTTCCGTGATGCATGGCAAAATGCAAAAGATGTAGACAGATATTTATTAATGATTTTGTGTTAGAAGATAAATTAAGAAAAAATTAGGGGTACAAATAAATTATTAATAGAAATATAAAAGAATAATTAAATTATATAAGAATTTAAAATTTTCAAGAAACCCATGATCTTAATGTATCCCTTTCAATGTATCTCGGATGCATGCATTACTTCGATGAAAAACATGAGTAGGGGCGGATGCACTAAGCTCTCGCCAAGTTTAATATGTTAAAATTTAGGAAAAATAGTTAAAATTTAGTTTAATATGTTAAATGTAAAATTAAAAAAATAAAAGAATTTACATACCCATTAATATTTTAAAAAAAAATTAACATTTTAGACTTGTTTCCGCCGCTCAACGTGAGTCTTCCCTTTTCATATGGCCGCTGAAATCGAACTTTCACTCTTTTACAAAAGCAAATGCAAGTTCCTCCTCTTCTTAATTCAGCACCAACGAGAATATATGCCTCTAGGCTCTAGTTGTCTCTTTAATAAAGCAAGTTCTTCCTTTGTCTATTGCATAGAAAAAAAAAACAGTACAAGTTTCGAAAACCATTACAGATTTATACACAACCCTCTTACCATACACAAACATTGTTCTTCGTTTCAAGATTGTTTTTTACCCAAAAGCCACCCGTTGTCTGTCAAATTCAAAGAATGTCGACTCAAGCAGAACAGCAGCAGCAGCAGCAGCAACCCGTCGTCGTTTACCCGAGCAGTGTGACATTTCAAACAGCGCCCGCGTCTCATTCAGATCCATCCGGGGGATCATTTGTGGCAGTTTTCATAGTGGTGGCAATAATCATTGTTACATCAGCTATCTCTTGCTTCCTCGGCAGATTCTGCAGTCGGCAGATGAGTCGAAAGAAGCCGGCCAAGGTTGAGCAAAGGCAATCTGATTTATGTCCCGGAGAAGCCAATATCGAGTTTGGCTCCGATGGGAGGATTAATCCTGGTGACCGTGGTGAAACCGACAAAGGGTTGGATTTCAAAATGCCTGGAAATGGAGATCACAGGGAGTTCAGGGTAAGGGAGCATGTGGAGCCAGCTGAATTCGGAGTTCCTGGAAATGGATATCCAGAGTTGAGAATGCCTGAAAATGGGGATTATGTACGATTTAGAATACCTGGAAATGCTGATCCCGTAGGATTCAGAATGCCAGGGCATGGAGACTTTAATGGTGAAACTAAGCCTGTTGATGATGGTAGTGAAGCTTTAAAGGCCGGTGCTTGATATGGAACAAAATGAAGTTCCTTTCGGCTTTTGTGTGATTTTATTTTGATTTTACAAAATTTTCAGCCTTTTGCAGTTCCTTATGATCTTGTTCATGTATTTATTTTCTTAGGCCTTGAAAGGAAAAATTCCGGCGCTAAGAAAGAAATTTTTCTAGAAAAATCTATTCCTCGCCTAAATTCCCATTTTTTTTTAAGAAAACATTAAAATATTTAAATTTCAAATTATACAACAAACAAAACAAGTTTAAAAAATCCTGTTCATGATTTACTTTACGTTATTAGCAATACTAGCAACGAAACGGAGAATTGAAACAATTCCCTGAAAAGGAGGAAAGAAAATTAGGGAAATAAAATTTATTAGACTATACTTAAAAAGAATGTTTTTGTTTTTTTAAAAGTATTGAATTCGATCAACTATATTTATTATATGTGTATGAAACAATGAATCTAAAAATATTTTTCAGTGTAGACACGTGTATATGAATAACCCTAATTAATGGGACTCGAAGAAATTTAGCATCAAGAGAGGTCATAGACAAGGTTGTCCAGAATCCCCGTTGTTATTCAAGTTGGTCGGGGAAGCTTTGAGCGTCCTAAATCACCAAGCTATTACAGTGGGTCTGGTAAAAGGAGTCTCAATCGGAGCTAATGAAATGCGAATCTCACATCTACAATTCGCAAACGATCTAATTATCTTCACGGAGGCGTCGGAAGAGTGTGTCCGCAATACTAAACGCTTCCTATGGTTATTCGAGCTAGCAGTTGAGCTTAAGCTAAATGTTAGGAAAACAAAGCTATATGGTGTGAATGTGGAAATTTCGAGGGTCCGAGCTTGGACAGCCTCTATCAAATGTACTGTCGATCAATTACCTACTTCCTACCTGGGTCTCCCTCTCGGTTATCTACGCAATTCTCCCGCCTTATGGAAACTTGTAATTGACAAATTTCAGAGTAGGCTTCATCGGTGGAAGGGTAAAATGTCGTCGCTCGGTGGCATAATCACCTTGGTGAAGTCGGTTCTCTCGAACCTGTCGATATATTTCCTTCTCTCTTTCGGATGCCTATTTCAGTTGCAAGCACCCGAAACAAACTAATTGTTAGGTTCATTTGGGGTTCCGTCAATCGTAAATCCATTCATTGGATCAAATGGGATCAATTGTGTTTGCCAAAATGCCAATGGGGTTAGGTCTGTTCGACCTTAAGCTGAGGAATACATCACTTTTAAATAATTGGTTATGGCGATTTGGGGTCGAGTCAAATAGCCTATGAAAAAATGTCATATTTGAAAAGTATTGCTCGAATCTATGCTCTTTAATTCTTCGGTCGTCAAGTGTTAAACGTCCGTCTTGGATATGGAAAAACATCACACGACAGTTATCGTTCACTGAAGGCAAGTTTATTGGTGAAGTTAGGTGCGTTCTTGGTGATGGGAGTCTTACAGACTTTTGACTAATTTTTGGACCAATGTTAGTTCTCTCCGGTGTTTTGAAAACCGGACTGGACCGGCCGATTCAACCGGTTCAACCAGGAATCGCTGTCTAGTCCGGTTCAATCCACACCGGTTGAACCGCTACTAGTGAACCGGCCGAAACCGTTGAACCGTTCAAGTCGGAACGGCTAAAAATCGGAAAAACCGGAAAAAACCACCAATTTTATTTTTTTTTAAAAATTAAACAAACGACGTCGTTTGTTAAACGAGCCAAGTCGAACTCGAGTATTACTAAGCTCGACTCGAACTTGAAAATTTTAAAAGTAAGCTCAACTCGACTCAAACTCACGAGCTAAAAATTATCAAGTTCAACTTGAACTCAAAATATAATATTAAAACTTGAACTCGAAAAGGTTTGAACTCAAAAAAAATTTAAAAACTTTATTGAAGCCTAAAATTCGAGCTTGATTGAAGTGAAAGAATAATTCACTCAATGCTCACTAAAAGGCTCCATATTTTGAATGTCAAATTACCTCTATTATTTATAGAAGTTAGTTGAGATGTTCTTCTATGTTTCTTAGCCATGTGAGATTGTTTTGTTCTTATATTTTTACTCTTTAGACTTTTGGGATGTTCTTCTATGTTTCTTAGTCATGTGAGATTGTTTTTAAAAAAAAATAAACCAAACAATATCATTTTGTTATGATTTTTTTAGCCCCAAATTTATTTTTTGATTATAGTTATATAATTATATTTATTATTTAATATGTTTTACCTTAAATATTATGTTGTAGTTAATTTGAATCATTTTGTTTCACTTGATTTTATGGTTTTTAACTTATATATGTTATGTTATGACTTGCTTTGAATATGACTTGTGATATAAAAAATTATTTTTTATTAAATATTTTTGATATTTTTATTTAATTTTTTAAATAATTATGACATAGTATGGTTCTTCCGACCGGTCGGACCGGTTCAACCGGCTGAACCAATAAATCGGTAGTATGATCGGTTCGCTAACCGGTCCGGTTCTGAAAACCATGGTTCTCTCAAGGAGGCTTTCCCGCGTAATTTTGCAGTGGCGGTAAACAAGTCGGGGGAAGTCGCCGACTTCGTGGAGAAGGTGGGCGATACTTGGGTGTGGAATATCGCCATTTGGATGGCACTATTTGATTAGAAAATCCCTATTTGGGAAGGTTTTTTGGACACACTAAACAATGATCTCATCTGAAACCCAGTGGATGGAGTGTTGTGGGTAGGCTCTACTAACGGTATTTATCAACCAAGACCTTTTTGTGAATTTGTTTCATCGATCGGGCATGAGAAGGATTCGATTTGGAAGCTTGTTTGGGTTAACCTTGCCCCTCCAAAAGTAAAGGCGTTTGTTTGGAGGCTAGTGCATGGGAGAATTCCAACCTTTGTTGAACTAGCTAAACAGGGGGTGAGGCCCTTTGATTTCAACCTGTGCATCCTATGCAATTCGGATATTGAAACTCCGAACTACTTATTTTGCCGCTGCCATTTTACATGGTCTATATGGGTAAAATGGTAGAGCTTGTTAACTTGCTTTGTGTTGCGCCCAGAGTCATCTGACCTTTATTGAATCCTGGGACAGCTTCCCTGTTAAGAACGCTGCGAAACCGCGGTGAAAGTTGTCCCTTTTTGGGTTCCTTTGGACTATATGGTTAAGTAGAAACGAAAGCATCTTTAATGATAAGAAATTCACATCTGATCAAAATTTTGACCTTGCTGTCCTAAGAATCGTTTCCGGGCAAAATGCAAATGGTCGTCATCTATCTCTTCTATCAATGATTTTATTCGATTTCCTCATTTAGCAAATATAGATAGGCCTAAGCATAGATCTTTCTGACGAGTTCACAAGCTATCTGATGGGTATAGCCTTATTTGTGTTCGGTTTCGTTGTTGTTCAGAACTTATGCTAAGCAAGGTTGTAAAGAAGGCAAAGTTCCTATGACTACGGTTTCTAATGTTGTTCTGCCTTGGTTTACATTGACTGTTGGAGCTCAGTCTCGGTTTTGTTAGTTTAGTACTAGCCTGATGTTTCAGTTTGCCTGAAGCCATAAGCCATTAACGGGGTAGATTCTCCCATTTCTTCAACCGTTCTAGATGGGAGGGATGCTGATATACGCTCGTCACTATATGGTTTCATTCGTTGATTCCTGCTTGCTGTAGGGGGTTTGTTTTGGAGGTTGCGAATTTGCCAGCAGGTTTGTTTCAGCTTACTTCTCGCAAAGGTAATCCTGATCAATGATCATGTTAGTTATATTGGCGTGTTGATGGTGCTCGTTTGGTTAGTCATTTCCTTGAGCGGTTTTGGTTCGGGGTTTGTTCTGAATAATACGTTATCTTAATCTTTCAATAAGGTATTATCTCGATACTCTTTTTCTTTCACATAGGATTAAAAAGTTTTTTTAATTAGGCTCATGGTCATGTCATGATCAAATTTTGATCTATCTGTCCATTACAAAACACCCTTTTCAAAAAAAATAATGGTTAAATTGATAGATTTACAATATCAAATTTATTAAACTACTGAAAACAATATCATATTAATAAAATATATAAAGATTAAAGATTAAATGTATTATTATACTGATGTAAAAACGATTATGTCAATGTGGTTTGTAACTTAGATTTAAAGTTCCTTTGTGATATAAATTGGAAAATTTAAATGTATGTATTATAAATAAATTAGTTAAAATTAATTCTACGTTGTATTTGAAAAATATAAAAAAATTAAATTTATCAAACTCATAAAGTCCTTTAAGAATTTGAAATCCACACTTAAATATTAACAAAATAACCAATATTCCCATTGATACGAGAAACAATAATAAATATGACATTTGCATTATTTTTAAAATCCAGCTTTACATTTAAAATCTAAGTTGGCAAACTTATGGAAGACTGAACCAAGTAGAATTAAAAATCAATTTTTTTTCTGCCAAGAAAAACCTAATTTCTAGTTGTCCAAACACAGTAGAATTAGGACATCAACTTGGTTTAATGAATTTAAAAGGCAATAATAACGCAAATGGTCCTACTTGGCATGTGCCCACCTTGACCTTGACCTTGAATTTATTACAAGCAACCCAACTCCAAACATCGAATGTTCCGAACTCAATTGACCTCGTCAACTTATTGCCTTTATTTTGTTTCAACGCCATCAGCACTTGTAGATGAGCTCCTTGAATCCCTGGTAAAAACCTTATCCAATCATTGTGTCATTAAAAATTATAAAATGTTTAGTAGGACCTTAATGTATTATTATTATGTAGGACCTTAATGTATTAATTATTATGTAGGGTACGTTTGGTGATATTTTTTTAAAATGCCTTTAGCTTTAAAAAAATTTATCTTGACCGTAAAATCAATGTCAAACGAGTAAAAAATAAATAAATAAAATGATTATGGAAACGGTAGCTTCAAATCAACCACAAAAATTAGAATTTCTAGCTTTTTCATTTTCAATTTCTATTTTTTTTCATTTTCAGCTTTTTATTTGAATATAAATTATAATTTTACACTTACTAATGCATGGATTA